TTCGCAGCACGTTTGAGCTTCTGCAAGAACCAATGAGGTTCATTCTTGTGTTACGCAGCACGTTTGAGCTTCTGCAAGAACCAATGAGGATCATTCTTGTGTTACGCAGCACGTTTGAGCTTCTGCAAGAACCAATGAGGATCATTCTTGTGTTTCGCAGCACGTTTGAGCTTCTGCAAGAACCAATGAGGTTCATTCTTGTGTTACGCAGCACGTTTGAGCTTCAGCAAGAACCAATGAGGTTCATTCTCGTGTTACGCAGCACGTTTGAGCTTCAGCAAGAACCAATGAGGTTCATTCTTGTGTTAAGCAGCACGTTTGAGCTTCAGCAAGAACCAATGAGGTTCATTCTCGTGTTACGCAGCACGTTTGAGCTTCAGCAAGAACCAATGAGGTTCATTCTTGTGTTAAGCAGCACGTTTGAGCTTCAGCAAGAACCAATGAGGTTCATTCTCGTGTTACGCAGCACGTTTGAGCTTCAGCAAGAACCAATGAGGATCATTCTCGTGTTACGCAGCACGTTTGAGCTTCTGCAAGAACCAATGAGGTTCATTCTCGTGTTACGCAGCACGTTTGAGCTTCTGCAAGAACCAATGAGGTTCATTCTCGTGTTACGCAGCACGTTTGAGCTTCAGCAAGAACCAATGAGGTTCATTCTTGTGTTAAGCAGCACGTTTGAGCTTCAGCAAGAACCAATGAGGTTCATTCTCGTGTTACGCAGCACGTTTGAGCTTCAGCAAGAACCAATGAGGTTCATTCTCGTGTTACGCAGCACGTTTGAGCTTCAGCAAGAACCAATGAGGATCATTCTCGTGTTACGCAGCACGTTTGAGCTTCTGCAAGAACCAATGAGGTTCATTCTCGTGTTACGCAGCACGTTTGAGCTTCAGCAAGAACCAATGAGGTTCATTCTTGTGTTACGCAGCACGTTTTAGCTTCAGCAAGAACCAATGAGGTTCATTCTTGTGTTACGCAGCACGTTTTAGCTTCAGCAAGAACCAATGAGGTTCATTCTCGTGTTACGCAGCACGTTTGAGCTTCAGCAAGAACCAATGAGGTTCATTCTCGTGTTACGCAGCACGTTTGAGCTTCTGCAAGAACCAATGAGGTTCATCCTCGTGTTACGCAGCACGTTTGAGCTTCTGCAAGAACCAATGAGGTTCATTCTTGTGTTACGCAGCACGTTTGAGCTTCTGCAAGAACCAATGAGGTTCATTCTTGTGTTACGCAGCACGTTTGAGCTTCTGCAAGAACCAATGAGGTTCATTCTTGTGTTACGCAGCACGTTTGAGCTTCTGCAAGAACCAATGAGGTTCATTCTTGTGTTACGCAGCACGTTTGAGCTTCTGCAAGAACCAATGAGGATCATTCTTGTGTTACGCAGCACGTTTGAGCTTCTGCAAGAACCAATGAGGATCATTCTTGTGTTACGCAGCACGTTTGAGCTTCTGCAAGAACCAATGAGGATCATTCTCGTGTTACGCAGCACGTTTGAGCTTCTGCAAGAACCAATGAGGTTCATTCTCGTGTTACGCAGCACGTTTGAGCTTCAGCAAGAACCAATGAGGTTCATTCTCGTGTTACGCAGCACGTTTGAGCTTCAGCAAGAACCAATGAGGTTCATCCTCGTGTTACGCAGCACGTTTGAGCTTCTGCAAGAACCAATGAGGTTCATTCTCGTGTTACGCAGCACGTTTGAGCTTCAGCAAGAACCAATGAGGTTCATCCTCGTGTTACGCAGCACGTTTGAGCTTCTGCAAGAACCAATGAGGTTCATTCTTGTGTTACGCAGCACGTTTGAGCTTCTGCAAGAACCAATGAGGTTCATTCTTGTGTTACGCAGCACGTTTGAGCTTCTGCAAGAACCAATGAGGTTCATTCTTGTGTTACGCAGCACGTTTGAGCTTCTGCAAGAACCAATGAGGTTCATTCTTGTGTTACGCAGCACGTTTGAGCTTCTGCAAGAACCAATGAGGATCATTCTTGTGTTACGCAGCACGTTTGAGCTTCTGCAAGAACCAATGAGGATCATTCTTGTGTTACGCAGCACGTTTGAGCTTCTGCAAGAACCAATGAGGATCATTCTTGTGTTACGCAGCACGTTTGAGCTTCTGCAAGAACCAATGAGGATCATTCTCGTGTTACGCAGCACGTTTGAGCTTCTGCAAGAACCAATGAGGTTCATTCTCGTGTTACGCAGCACGTTTGAGCTTCAGCAAGAACCAATGAGGTTCATTCTCGTGTTACGCAGCACGTTTGAGCTTCAGCAAGAGCCAATGAGGTTCATTCTCGTGTTACGCAGCACGTTTGAGCTTCAGCAAGAACCAATGAGGATCATTCTCGTGTTACGCAGCACGTTTGAGCTTCGGCAAGAACCAATGAGGTTCATTCTCGTGTTACGCAGCACGTTTGAGCTTCTGCAAGAACCAATGAGGTTCATTCTCGTGTTACGCAGCACGTTTGAGCTTCAGCAAGAACCAATGAGGTTCATTCTCGTGTTACGCAGCACGTTTGAGCTTCTGCAAGAACCAATGAGGTTCATTCTCGTGTTACGCAGCACGTTTGAGCTTCTGCAAGAACCAATGAGGTTCATTCTCGTGTTACGCAGCACGTTTGAGCTTCTGCAAGAACCAATGAGGTTCATTCTCGTGTTACGCAGCACGTTTGAGCTTCAGCAAGAACCAATGAGGTTCATTCTCGTGTTACGCAGCACGTTTGAGCTTCGGCAAGAACCAATGAGGTTCATTCTCGTGTTACGCAGCACGTTTGAGCTTCGGCAAGAACCAATGAGGTTCATTCTCGTGTTACGCAGCACGTTTGAGCTTCTGCAAGAACCAATGAGGTTCATTCTCGTGTTACGCAGCACGTTTGAGCTTCAGCAAGAACCAATGAGGTTCATTCTCGTGTTACGCAGCACGTTTGAGCTTCGGCAAGAACCAATGAGGTTCATTCTCGTGTTACGCAGCACGTTTGAGCTTCGGCAAGAACCAATGAGGTTCATTCTCGTGTTACGCAGCACGTTTGAGCTTCGGCAAGAACCAATGAGGTTCATTCTCGTGTTACGCAGCACGTTTGATCTTCTGCAAGAACCAATGAGGTTCATTCTCGTGTTACGCAGCACGTTTGATCTTCTGCAAGAACCAATGAGGTTCATTCTCATGTTACGCAGCACGTTTGAGCTTCAGCAAGAACCAATGAGGTTCATTCTCATGTTACGCAGCACGTTTGAGCTTCTGCAAGAACCAATGAGGTTCATTCTCATGTTACGCAGCACGTTTGAGCTTCAGCAAGAACCAATGAGGTTCATTCTCGTGTTTCGCAGCACGTTTGAGCTTCAGCAAGAACCAATGAGGTTCATTCAATGAGTTTTTTTATCTTGTGTTATGCAGGTTGTGAATAAAAGCCTAAATTAAATCTGTTCATCATATAAAACGATCAATCTGTTCAGAAATTTGATCTAAACCGCTCAGTTCATATGGATTAGTTTTACAATCTAATTAATGAACTTTTTGAAGCATCAAAGTGGTAGTTGAGTAACTGTCAATGGAGGGACAGAAATCTCTCAGATTTCATCAAAAAGATCTTAATTTGTGTTCTGAAGATGTACGAAAGTCTAATGGGTTTGGAACGACATAAGGGTGAGTAATTAATGACAGAGTTTTCATTTTTTGGTGAACAATCCCTTTAATGTACGGGGTGGCGCTGATAATAAGGGCGAGGCAGCCGTTCCGTCACACAGCACAAATATATAAATATATAAATATTCTTAAATACATCTAAACATTCCTGCAAAATTACATATTAATAAGCCTTGTATATTTTTCTGACACCATTGGCAGATATTTGTTCTTGTTTTAAGCAAAAACTCACTTCATTTTGATCAATTTCTCTTCTTTTCTCAAGTCACGTTGCTTCTCCAGTAAATGTATCTTGATTTAAGAATGTTTTGATATTTGTGCTGGAAAACAAGACCGAAATATTGAGGAATAACATCCTTTTTTTCTTCTTCAGTGCGTTAGTCAATATGTCTGATTTGACTGTGTTTTGCAGCGTCTCGGGTCAGAACGCTTGTATTTCCCCAGCGTTTGGGCTCCTTTTAGTTCTCTGCAGGACTCGTTAAAATCATGGCTGACCGCCTCTAATCTGTGTCGTGTTCATGTGTGATTAGTTCTGATGAGAGACGGATAGAAACAGTGACCTCTATCAGATGTCAGCACTGCTTCTGCTCTACATGATGAATGTTAAAGCATTTGTAGTGTGAATGAAATTCAGGATCACAATCCTGTTCAACAGACCCAGACTGACGCCTGCTTCACTTATGCTTTATGGTGATTCTGTGTAAGCAAACACACTTATGAAGTCACTAAAGTTCTCAAAACTCCATACAATGCTTCGGTCTCTCTTATATAAAATATTATAACATGTCTTGTTGTTCTTTTGCTTTTTATTGCAATGTACAGCACTTTGGAACTACTGTGGTAGCCTGTAAGGTTCTATATAAATAAATAAACAAACGAACGAAATATCTAAAATCACACAGTTACAAAAGGACTCGATGTATAATGAAGATCTGAATGGTTCAGCTGCGTTAACAGTGAACAGGGAACGTTCTGGCAAGATTCTCTCAACGTTATAAAGAAATGTTCTTCTAGTAACTTTATTAGAATTCGTTCCATGTTTTCCAGTTTTTAATAATGTTCTCAAAACATTAGCACAAAAACATTATTTATACATAATTTATTGAACGTTTTTTCTGAAACATTTTAGTCCAGATAACTTGATGTTCAATTATAACAAATATACATATATATATATAACAAATGTTCTAATAACGTTACTGGAAGAACATTAAGAGAACCTTGCCAGAACGTTCCAATAACTCTTGCAATAATGATGGAGTCCAGATTAGCGTTTCTGCACAAATATTCACTAGAGGGAAAAGTGTGACAACTTGCCCCAGTACGTTCCACACGATTGACCAAGACTGAAGCTGTACTTACAGAAACCACACGTCCCAGCAGCGGCTTCATGAAGACACAGGGACAGAAGTCCTGCGGTAAACATGGTAAACGACTCCAGTTTTACTCCTCCAGTGCTTATAAATCCACTTTGAGCGAAATGTTCCATCCAAACATGCAGTGAAACCTGCACACATGTCACACTGAGTTACTCCAGCGCTTCACATGCACACTGAAGTGATGAAGAGAGAGAATGAAGATGAAGAACCCTGAGAGCAGCAGCAGAAGTGATGAGAGAGAGAGAGAGAGAGCTGTGACTCCTCACTGACGACACATACGCAGCTGACGCTCACACTGAGAGAGAGAGAGAGAGAGAGGGAGAGAGAGAGAGAGAGAGAGAGAGAGAGAGAGAGAGTAACCACGGATGACTGAACGCTGATAAAGTCATGTGAAGACTGGAGAAAGTCAAGGAGCAAGACAAGAGAAGCTGTGAGGGAAACAGGAGCAGCGAGAGGGCGAGCGGTCGCTCATAACTAGCTGGTTAATTGCCCTATGGCAAGCCGTTTTAGCTTAAAATGTCCCCAGCGTTATTTATCATAATTGATTCTTACTAGTAAAATTTCACTGGGAGAGCTCTCTAATTGGAATTCTTACTAGTAAATTTTCATTTTTGAGAGCTCTCTAATTGGAATTCTTACCAGTAAAATTTAATTTGGATAGCTTTCTAATTGGGATTCTTACCAGTAAGAATTCATTTCTAATTGGGATTCTTACTAGTAAAAAATAATTCGGAGAGCTTTCTAATTGGGATTCTTACCAGTAAAAATTAATTCGGATAGCTTTCTAATTGGGATTCTTACCAGGAAAAATTAATTCGGATAGCTCTCTAATTGGGATTCTTACTATTAAAATTTCATTTGGAAAGCTCTCTAATTGGAATTCTTACCAGTAAAAATTAATTCGGAGAGCTTTCTAATTGGGATTCTTACCAGTAAAAATTAATTCGGATAGCTTTCTTATTGGGATTCTTACCAGTAAAAATTCATTTGGAGAGCTCTCTAATTGGGATTCTTACCAGTAAAAATTAATTCGGATAGCTTTCTAATTGGGATTCTTACCAGTAAAAATTTATTCGGATAGCTCTCTAATTGGGATTCTTACTATTAAAATTTCATTTGGAGAGCTCTTTAATAGGAATTCTTACTAGTAAAATTTCATTTGGAGAGCTCTCTAATTGGAATTCTTTATAGTAAATTTTCATTTGGAGAGCTCTCTAATTGAAATTCTTTATTGTAAAATTTCATTTGGAGAGCTCTCTAATTGGAATTCTCTATAGTAAAATTTCATTTGAACAGTTCTTTAATTGGAATTCTTACTAGTAAAATTTAATTTGGAGAGCTCTCTAATTGGGATTCTTTATAGTAAAATTTCATTTGGAGAGCTCTTTAATTGGAATTCTTTATAGTGAAATTGAATTTGGAGAGCTCTAATTGGAATTCTTTATAGTAAAATTGAATTTGGAGAGCTCTCTAATTGGAATTCTTTATAGTAAAATTTCATTTGGAGAGTTCTTTAATTAGAATTCTTTATAGTAAAATTTCATTTGGAGAGCTCTCTAATTGGGATTCTTTATAGTAAAATTTCATTTGGAGAGCTCTCTAATTGGAATTCTTTATAGTAAAAGTTCATTTGGATAGCTCTCTAATTGGAATTCTTTATAGTAAAATTTCATTTGGATAGCTCTCTAATTGGAATTCTTACTAGTAAAAAATAATTTGGAGAGCTTTCTAACTGGAATTCTTACTAGTAAAATTTCATTAGGAGAGCTTTCTAATTGGGATTCTTACTATTAAAATTTAAATTGGAGAGCTCTCTAATTGGGATTCTTACTATTAAAATTTAAATTGGAGAGCTTTCTAATTGGGATTCTTACCATTAAAATTTCATTTGGAGCTCTCTAATTGGAATTCTTACTAGTAAAATTTCATTTGGAGAGCTCTCTAAGTGGAATTCTTACCAGTAAAAAATAATTCGGAGAGCTAATAAGTTAATAAATTAGAGAGCTCTCCAAATGAAATTTTACTGGTAAGAATCCCAATTAGAGAGCTCTCTAATTGGAATTCTTTACAGTAAAATTCCATTTGGAGAGCTCTCTGATTTTAATTCTTACTAGTACAATTTAATTTGGAGAGCTCTCTAATTGGAATTCTTTATAGTAAAATTCCATTTGGAGAGCTCTCTGATTTTAATTCTTACTAGTAAAATTTCATTTGGAGAGCTTTCTAGTTTACATTTACATTTAGTCATTTAGCAGACGCTTTTATCCAAAGCGACTTACAACTGAGGACTAAACCAAGCGAGTCATCGTGAAGAGGCAAAAACAACGCAAGAAGTGCTCAAAATACAAAGTTCAGACATTGCTCAGAGTAGCATAAGCCAGACAAGCGAGGATTTAGAGGAAAGGATTTTTTTTTTTTTTTTTTTTTTTTTTTGTTATGTTATGTTAAGTGCTCCCGGAAGAGATGAGTTTTCAGTTGTCTTTTGAATGCTGTCAGGGATTCTGCATTCCGGATGAGGGTGGGGAGATCATTCCACCAGCATGGAACCGTGAATGAGAATGTTCTGGAGAGTGATTTAGTGCCTCGCTGTGATGGTACCACGAGCCGTCGCTCATTGACCGATCGTAGGCTTCTGGTAGGGATGTAGACTTGTAGTAGTGAGTGGAAGTAGGAGGGAGCTGAACCTGTGGTCAATCTGTAAGCAAGCGTCAAAGCCTTGAACTTGATGCGAGCAGCGAGTGGTAGCCAGTGCAGAGAGATGAACAGAGGAGTGACGTGGGCCCTTTTGGGCTCGTTGAAGACAAGACGAGCTGCAGCATTCTGGATCATTTGTAGAGGTTTAGTTGCACATGATGGAAGTCCAGCCAGAAGAGCATTGCAGTAATCAAGCCTAGAAATGACCAGGGCCTGGACGAGAAGTTGTGTTGCATGCTCAGTTAGGAAAGGCCTGATCTTCCTGATGTTGTGCATAGCAAACCTGCATGATCGAGCTGTCTTTGTAATGTGGTCTGTGAAGGTCAGCTGATCATCAAAGATTACTCCAAGATTTCTGACCGACCTTGATGGGGTGATTGAGGAAGATTCTAGCTGGATAGTGAGGTCGTGCTGTAGAAACAGATTGACAGGGAGGACGAGAAGCTCAGTCTTTGCCAGGTTGAGCTGCAGGTGATGTTCCTTCATCCATGCCGAGATGTCTGCCAGACAGCTTGAGATCCGTACAGCTACATCTAGTTGGAATTCTTACTAGTACAATTTAATTTGGAGTGCTCTCTAATTGGAATTCTTACCAGTAAAAATTAATTCGGAGAGCTCTCTAATTTTAATTCTTACTAGTAAAATTTCATTTGGAGAGCTCTCTAATTGGAATTCTTTATAGTAAAATTTAATTTAGAGAGCTCTCTAATTGGAATTCTTTATTGTAAAATTTCATTTGGAGAGCTCTTTAATTGGAATTCTTTAAGGTAAAATTTCATTTGGAGAGCTCTAATTGGAATTCTTTATAGTAAAATTTAATTTGGAGAGCTCTCTAATTGGGATTCTTACTAGTAAAATTTCACCTGGAGAGCTTTCTAATTGGGATTCTTACTAGTAAAATTTCATTTGGAGAGCTTTCTAATTGGAATTCTTACTAGTACAATTTAATTTGGAGAGCTCTCTAATTGGAATTCTTACCAGTAAAAATTAATTCGGAGAGCTTTCTAATTGGGATTCTTACCAGTAAAAATTAATTCGGAGAGCTCTCTAATTTTAATTCTTACTAGTAAAATTTCATTTGGAGAGCTCTCTAATTGGAATTCTTTATAGTAAAATTTAATTTGGAGAGCTCTCTAATTGGAATTCTTTATTGTAAAATTTCATTTGGAGAGCTCTTTAATTGGAATTCTTACTAGTAAAATTTCATTTGGAGAGCTCTCTAATTGGGATTCTTTAAGGTAAAATTTCATTTGGAGAGCTCTAATTGGAATTCTTTATAGTAAAATTTAATTTGGAGAGCTCTCTAATTGGAATTCTTTATAGTAAAATTTCATTTGGAGAGTTCTTTAATTGGAATTCTTACTAGTAAAATTTCATTGGGAGAGCTCTCTAATTGGGATTCTTTATAGTAAAATTTCATTTGGAGAGCTCTTTAATTGGGATTCTTACTAGTAAAATTTCATTTGGAGAGCTCTCTAATTGGGATTCTTACTAGTAAAATTTCATTTGGATAGCTCTCTAATTGTAATTCTTTATAGTAAAATTTCATTTGGAGAGCTCTCTGATTTTAATTCTTACTAGCACAATTTAATTTGGAGAGATCTCTAATTGGAATTCTTGATAGTAAAATTCATTTGGAGAGCTCTCTAATTGGGATTCTTACTAGTAAAATTTCATTTGGAGAGCTTTCTAATTGGAATTCTTACTAGTACAATTTAATTTGGAGTGCTCTCTAATTGGAAGTCTTACCAGTAAAAATTAATTTGGAGAGCTTTCTAATTGGGATTCTTACCAGTAAAAATTAATTCGGAGAGCTCTCTAATTTTAATTCTTACTAGTAAAATTTCATTTGGACAGTTCTTTAATTGGAATTCTTACTAGTAAAATTTCATTTGGAGAGCTCTCTAATTGGAATTTTTTATAGTAAAATTTCATTTGGAGAGCTCTCTAATTGGAATTCTTTATAGTAAAATTTTATTTGGAGAGCTTTCTAATTGGAATTCTTACTAGTACAATTTAATTTGGAGTGCTCTCTAATTTTAATTCTTACTAGTAAAATTTCATCTGGAGAGCTCTCTAATTGGAATTATTACTATAAAAATCCAATTACAACAAGTAACACTGGTAACATTTTAAGGTAAAACGGCTTGCCATACCGTGTTGAGCTTGAGCTTTTGTCCTGAGCTGCAGACGTGTGCTTAGATAAAGACCGCATGTGTTTGAGCTTCATCACGGCCGTGTCATCGGCTCATTCTCTTCCTCACGCTGTGTGTGCGCAGATAAGAGATGCACAGATTCACTCATAAACACACAACGCAACAATACAAGAACTAATACAAGGAATGATTCACTTCTGTGCTCATTAACTCCCTCGTGGCAGGAGAGATGCAGCATCTGTTACCACTGACAACAACTCTCAGATTCAGCT